TAGGCAGGATTGTGATCTTCCTTTTGAATATGCCATCTGTTCTATACTAACCTCCTTTTCAGGCCAGCTCTTCTCCCAGGCCAGCTAGGTAATGAGTCAACAGGATGTCTTCCTTAGGGAGGCTCACATCTTTCTCAGGATATCTCTTCCAGTACCCAACATAAATAGATAAGTAGGTCTGGGCCTCACGTATACCTGGCCAGGTCTACAATCCTCTCTCAATGAGAAAACTTCCTTCCAATTTATACATGGCTGAAGCTTGAGGAATCAGCTGCCCGATAAAATAAATGGATTGATCCTTTCCTTTTTGCCTCTTTATATTGGTTTTCTCTTGTAAAGCATTATGAACCTTATTTCTGTTATTACAGTTTGAGCCCTATGTATTAACAATAGACTATGGGGGCCAGCTCTGTGGCGCACATTAATCCTCCACCTGCAGTGATGGCATCCCATATGGGTGCCAGTTCTAGTCCTAGCTGCTCCTCTTCCCATCCAGCTCTCTGCTGTGGCTTGGGAAAGGAGAAGATGGTCCAAATCCTTGGGCCCCTGCACCCATGTGAGAGACCTGAAAAAAGCTCCTGGCTCCTGGCTTTGGATTTGCTCAGCTCCAGCTGTTGCGGCCAACTGGGGAGTGAACCAGCAGATGGAAGACATCTCTCTCTCTGCCTCTCCTTCTCTCTCTGTGTAACTCTGACTTTCAAATAAATAAATATATCTTTAAAAAAAAGTAGACTAGTGACAACCACTCTAGCCAACTGGGGCTGTGGTAAGAGGTTTATCTTGGCAGTTTTGTAACCTTTTGTGGACAGCATGCTTTGTTGTCATTGGTTGTTTCTAATTTGGCTTCCCTTTGTAGATCTGAGTCCGCCATCATATGGCTCATGTATTCACATGACCCAATCACGGCAGGGTGTCACCACAACTCTACTTTACCAATCCAAACCTCCAGCATCAATCCTTTTAACACATGTGGGGTCATGGAGTATACTCATATCACTTGTACACAAGAAGTAAGAGGGTACTGGTGGAGACTAGCTACCAGTCTATGTGAAGGCCTGTCGTGAGAGTACACATTCAATGACAAAAAAGACACGTGTAGGGGCTGGTGGTATGGCCGCCTGCACTGCCAGCATCCCATATGGGTGCCATTCAAGTCCCAGCTGCTCCCCTTCTAAGCCAGCTTTCTGCGAGGGCCTGGGAAAGCAGTGGAAGAAAGCCCAATTCTTTGGGCCCCTGCACCTGTGTGGGAGACCCAGAAGAAGCTCCTGGCTCCTGGCTCCTGGCTTCAGATCAGTTCAGCTCCAGCCACTGTGTGGCCATCTGGGTAGTGAGCCAGTGGACAGAATACCTATCTCTCTGCCTCTGCCTCTCTGTAACTCTGCCTTTCATATAAATAAATAAATCTTTTTTAAAAAATACACGTGTAAAAAAAAATACACATGTAAAGGGCCCTAGGATATACCCTCAACTGTCCTTCTTGGTGTTGTGTTTCATAGGCCACTTGACAAGATATAAAACCACAGTCCTCCAGAAGGGCATTGCTATATCACACTGTCATTTGAGACCCTGTAACCTCATTAATTTTACTATCCTCCACCTAAATGACCATAAATGGAGAGATAATTGGCAGGTTGAGATATACATTAATAGACAATGCCAAGATCCCGGGGTTGTATTAAACTGCAAAAGAGTTAAGCCCACTCACCAGGCCACCTCTCATGGGGTTTTCCATTCCTTCTATGAGGAAATGAAGGAGGGCCTCCAGCCATATTCATTACCATTAAAAATCTGTTCCTGTCCTTGGCAGAAACCATAGCTCAATCACTAAGCATCTCTTCTTGTTATGTCTGTGGGGAATCAATCTGGGGAGGAACTATCCGTCCCTCCTCCTTCCCACTCCCACTAGCTGGCAGAGGACATTTGGAGGTCCTAGTATATGAGGACTGGGGAGGCCAAAAAAAAAAAGACGTGCTGTACCCCTACAGATTGGTGACTGGAATGATGATCAATGGCTACCTAAATGAATAATCATTATGGTCCTGCCACCTGGGCAAAAGATGGGTCCTGAATGGGTCCCATTCACATGTTAAACTACCCCATAATCCTGACAACAGCCTGTAACATTACAAGAGCTATCAATATATTGGCCAAACAACATACTCAAATGTGCAATGTTATCTACCAAAATTACCTAGCCCTAGATTATTTACTTGCTTCTAAAGGTGGAGTTTGTAAAAATTTAATCTAAGCAACTGTTGCTTACAAATGGATGATGAGGGCAAGGGCATAAAGGAAATTACTGATCAAATGAAAAAGGTTGCCCATGTTCCAGTCCAGACCTGGAAAGGCTGGGACCCCAGAGATTTGTCTGATTTTATCTTGTCTTTTGTCCTTATTTTGGGAAATTGTGTTTAGCCTCTTAAAGACCCTGAACAAGAGAAAACCAGATGCATATGTCATGATGCTGTGGCAATATAAGTCCCTGGACCAGGATGATGCTCTCTGACCCAGAGAGGGTCTCAGCATCAAAGAGGGGAATGTGGCTGAGGCCTTTGTCTTTTAACTAACCTTGTTTCTAACTAACATGATTAAAGTTGCAGTAGAGGCCTTCCCGAGGTCAGAAGAAGAGGGGCCGGCGCCGCGGCTCAATAGGCTAATCCTCTGCCTTGCGGCGCCAGCACACCGGATTCTAGTCCCGGTCGGGGCGCTGGATTCTGTCCCGGTTGCCCCTCTTCCAGGCCAGCCCTCTGCTATGGCCTGGGAGTGCGGTGGAGGATGGTCCAAGTCCTTGGGCCCTGCACCCACATGGGAGACCAGGAGAAGTACCTGGCTCCTGGCTTCAGATCAGAGCGTGTCGGCAACTGTGGGGTGAACCAACGGCAAAAAGGAAGACCTTTCTCTCTGTCTCTCTCTTTCACTGTCCACTCTGCCTGTCAAATATTAAAAAAAAAAGAAGAAGAAGAAGAAGAAGAAGAGGGGAGGATCCTGTTCTGGGAATGAAATGTGGTTGTTATCATCTGCGTGCCTATGAATGCTTCAACTGTAGTTACTATCTGCTTATATGTAAGCATTTTAGGTTCTGGTGGTTAGTACAGAGCAATGATGTTAATCCTTGCCAGACAGGTATCACTCAGTATGTGTGTGGAAAATAACATCATCAGTAACTATGTACACATGCACAGTATTGTATCAATTCCTGTGGTCACCATATAACATCAGAATATCCAATAAAATGCATGCATATAACCATATAAGAGAGACAAAGAGGCTAAAACCATATATAAGGAAATACCCCTCTTTGTTCTGGGCTCAAGCTTTTGGTTAAGAAATTCCACCTGGGCCTTATGCCAGCCGAAATAATAAAATACTACTTCCTGTTAAAAGGCCTTCGTGTCTTGTCTCTGTACATAAATCCTGCTTCAAGATCTCTGTCTCTGCAATAACTACTTTTTAAAAATAAGCATTCAAAATTTACAAGAGCAATTTTTAAGAATATTTCTCTAATAACAACATTGAATATGGCCATAAGGCATGTATTGATAACAGATCTGGAATAAAAATATTGACAATTTTAGGTGACAGCTAGGAAATTTGGTGTTGAGCTTTTTAACTATCATGAAAATCTGACATGAAGGTACACCCAAAACTTCATGAAAAATGTAATTTAAAGATGTTTTTTGGCGTACACATGTGGCACAGTGGTTAAGAAACAGTGCGGGACACCCACACCTCATATAAGACTGCCTGGTTCGAATCTAAGCTACTTTGCTTCCAATTCATTCCTGCTAATGTGTACTCTGAGAAGCAGATGATGGCTCAAATGCTCATGTCCCTGCCACCCACCTGGGAGGCCCAGGTGGAGTTCCAGGTTTCTGGTTTATGCCCAGCCCTGGCTGTTACATACATCTGAGAAGTATATCAGCAAATACAAGATCTCTGCCTGCACCCACACTCCCACCACCCTCCTCCAATCTAGCCTTTCAAAGCTAAGTTTATTTTACTGCAAAAAATTGTTTATATCAACAGTGTCTTCATAATAGGTTTTCCATGTATTTTTTGAAGAAACCTCATACTAATCTACCCTATTTTTACCTGACTGCCAAAATTAAAATTACTAAGACAAATATGAAGATAACAATAGTTTCCCAATGATTTGAAAGAAAGACTATTAAAGTGGCCAGAGTTCCTCCACAACTTCTTTTTTGCCCTGGTTCCTGGCTCTGGCCTGACCCAGCTCTACCCATTTCAGGTCTTTGGAGAGTGAACCAGCAGATGGGAGATCTTTGTCTCCATATCTGTCTCTCAAATATATATTTTTTTGAATTTCCAAAACAGGCATTACTAACTTATAGTGCAATGGAAACACAGTGGTTACCTGACTTTTGAAAGCAAGTGTTAAAAATCTCTAAGAGTTTAAGAGTAAAAATATTCTAGCAATAACAATACAGCATTACAAGTCAGCAAGCATTTGTCCAAACCTATAGCATATATAGCACAGGAGTGCACCCTAATGTAAACTATGGATTTTTGGTGACAATGATGTGTCAATGTAGATTTATCAATTGTAACAAATGTAACATTCTGGTGGAGGATGTTGTTAATGAGGGAGGCTATTCATGTGTGGAGATAGGAAGTACATGGAATTTCTGAACTTTTTGCTTAGTTTTTCTGTGGACTTACAATTGCTCTAAAAAATAAAGTCTATTGTTTTAGAAAATGTGCTATTACTAGATATGAAACTAATACTATTTCAATGAAATCTAGGTGAATAGAAAACACAATCACAACAATTTTGATTTCATAAGTATAAAGCAATATCCAAGCACTACTGATTACATGAGCTTTCTTATAATAAAGTACTAAGGCCTATTTTTTTAAAAAGGATGATCAGAGTATTTTCCATTCAACATCTTTCACTTAAGCATTATTGTTAAAGGAAATAAATCCAATGTGTGCACAGAAATACAAATCTTACAAGTTAAAATTGTTGTATCACCTACCTGTTTTCTTATAAATTGCTAATTCTTTTACAGTTTCCAAAAACTGCCAAAATTTTTCATTACTTTCTTCTGCCATAAATTCACTATTAAAAATAAAAGCAATCAATTAATAAATGTTAAGGAAACTTGGTTTATGTATCATAAACTACAATTTAAAAGCAAATTAAATCTGTGAGAAAAAAAAAACCTCTAAAAGTTAATGTGAAATTACTGATTGTCTTTTTTGTAACACAGAACAAATGGATGGTTCTTAACTGAAGTATCATTCTCAAATATACAACCATTTCAGGAAAAGATTACAGGAGAAATTACTTTCAGCCTTTTTTTATGAGCAAAAAACTGATAATTTCGTCTTTCCATATGAAATATCACTAAGAAATATAATTTTATGGTAATGAAGAAAGAGCATTAAAGGTTAAAAAGTGGGAAAAAAAAAAAAAAGACTGCCTGTTCCCGGGAGTGGACGACGGCCCAAGTCCTTGGGTCCTGCACCCGCATGGGAGACTAGGAGAAGCACCTGGCTCCTGGCTTCGGATCAGCACAGTGCGCCAGCCGCAGCACACCGGCCACAGCGGCCATTGGAGGGTGAACCAACCGCAAAAAGGAAGACCTTTCTCTCTGTCTCTATCACTGTCCATTCTGCCTGGAAAAAAAAAAAAAAAGAAAAGAAAAAAAAGACTGCCTGTTTATCATACTCAAAAATCATTCTATCAACACTTTATGGAAGTTATTTATTTCATTTAACTACTGGTGTAGAAAATCTATTATTATAAAACAAAAGATCTTAATTAAAAAATAGGAAATTGTGTATTGCACTAGACTGGTGGCCTTTGGCCCAAAAATGTTAACCATTTTTCTACATCCCATATAAGAAAAAAGGGGAAAAGCCATTTAAAACCTTTTAGAAATAAAAAATGGAAGATTTAGGACAAAGTGAAAGACACCTAAAACATCCACAGTAAAACATTTAAACTAGAAAAGAAACAGCTATCAACAGATGGTATCAACACTTTGTTATTGCCCACCTTATCTTTCTCTAGCCTAGGTAAACTTTAACCCTTATTCTCAACAGAAAGTATTGAGGACATACAAAACACATTCATTGTAACTAATTCTCATAAGTATGAGATGGCCACTAAAGAGGAAAGAGGAGAGGGGAAAAATTAATTCATCAACACCAACATAAGAAATACAAGAATTTAAAGTAATAAAACAACTTTGCGGTTTTGTACAACTCAATGATTTTAAGAACAAAGAAAACCTAAAAACAGAGGAAAATATAGGGCACACTAAACAGGACATGACCTGAAAGGCCTAAGTATGGTACAAAACCTTAAAAAAGGAACACTTAATACTCTATTGATTTGACCAAATAGCCACAAACATGCTCATATGCAGGCTCACATCCTTTATCCAAAATGCTTAGAGCCAGATTACTTTTAATTTTTCTTTCAGATTTTGGAATATCTGTATATGCATAAGATATTTTGTGAATAAAAAGCCAACTTTAAACACAAAATTTTGTTTTCCAGCTATACCTTACACCCACAGCGTGAAGATAATTTTATACAATCTTCTTAAACACCTGTATTTTGATTGTAATCCATCATGAGGTCAAATGTGGAATTTTCCCACTTGTAATATCAAGTTGGTGCACAAAATATTAAACATTTTCGTTCACTTGAGGGTTTTTTCAGCTCAGAACCTGTATTATATGACCACAGGTAAAGGATTTCAAAAATATACCAGAATCTATACATCTAACTAATCAGTCAGTGGATTCACTTATACTTATCCGTCAATATACCATTGATATGAGCATTTCTGGAAATCTTCTGGAATTTTTCTTAAAAACAATTTACTAGTAATTCATTAATCTTCAAGGAAGAAATATCCTTAAGAGGCCATTTAACCTAGTTCCCCAACTTCCAAAAAGTATTATCTCTGGCTAAGTTTTTAAAAAGAAAAAAAAAAGAATGGCACTTAAAATTTTTTTTAAGATTTTATTTGAGGGCCGGCGCCACGGCTCAATAGGCTAATCTCCACCTGCGGTGCCGGCACACCAGGTTCTAGTCCCGGTTGCTCCTCTTCCTGTCCAGCTCTCTGCTGGGCCCAAGTGTACACTGGAGGATGGCCCAAGTCCTTGGGCCCTGCACCCGCATGGGAGACCAGGAGAAGCACCTAGCTCCTGGGTTTGGATCAGCATGCTGCGCCGGCCACAGCGCAGCGGCCAAGGTGGCCATTGTGGTGTGAACCAACGGAAAAAGGAAGACCTTTCTCTCTCTCTCTCACTGTCCACTCTGTCAAAAAAAAAATTTTTTTTTAAAAAAGATTTTATTTGAAAAGCGGAACGACAGAGAAAGAAGAGAGGGAGGGGAAAGGGGATATGGAATCCCTGACATGGAATGCAAGTATTTTAAGTGGCAACATAAATACTGAGCCAAAAACCTAACCTTGGCACTTTAAACTTGTTCATTTGCCTGATACAATATTTGAACTGAAATAACAATGTTTCGCGAAAAATGTTTCTCATTTCATCATTCTGATGGTGCCTTGAAGTATATATATATATATATATATATACACACACACACACACACACCTTGCCTTAAAAATGAAAAAAATGGTCCCTTCCACACATCAACATAATCAAGCACCCAACTTTTGTGAGCTATGCCTTGTCAAAATACACATGAAGAAATAGTTTTATCTTTGAAGTTCACATTTTAAAGGAAGAAATTAGCACACATGGTGTGTCAGTAAGGACTGTGACAGAAAGACTGATCAAATGCAATGAACACATAATGGAAAGACACTCGTTTTCTCAGGAAGAAGGATCAAAAAGAATAATATGGTATAACCACAAATAAGGTACCAATAAGGAAAGGACTGTAATAAAGTGGTAATCTCATGTTACTATCCTAGAGCTCCCATAAGAAATTAGCACGGACTTGGTGGCTTAAAACAAGTAAAATTTATTTCCTCATAGTCCTGGAAGAAAAAAAAAATAAGAAATCAAAGTATTCGCATAGTTCATGCAACAGATTCTAAGGGTTAGGACAAAGACATTTCTTTTTGGGGTGAGCTCCAAACCATCCTCTTTGGCTTCTAAAAATATACATATACCCCATGTATTAAAAATACATTCACGGTGCCGGTGCTGTGGCGCAGCGGGTTAACACCCTGGCCTGAAGCGCCCATATCCCATATGGGCGCCAGTTCGAGACCCGGCTGCTCTGCTCTGATCAGCTCTCTGCTGTGGCCTGGGAAAGCCGTAGAAGATGGCCCAGATCCTGGGGCCCCTGCAACCGTGTGGGAGACCCAGAGGAAGTTCCAGGCTCCTGGCTTCAGATAGGCGTGGTTCCAGCCGTTGTGGCCAACTGGGGAGTGAACCATTGGATGGAAGACTTCTCTCTCTCTCTCTCTCTCTCTGCCTCTCCTCTCTCTATTTAACTCTTTCAAATAAATAAATAAATCTTAAAAAAAATAATAATACATTCACATCCTCCCAACCTATTACAGTATCAACTTTAAGTCCAAGATCTTGTCATCTAAATCAGGTTTGGGTCAAAGTCTGGGTATTATCCATCCTGGGAAAAATCTTTTTCCATAGGTGGACTTGTGAAACTGAAGAGGACAAAGTATTTCCAAAATGCAGCAGTGAGATGATGTAGAATGGACAGCCCCACTAGGGGAAAACTAGAAGGAGCAAAGGAGCCCTAGGAAAGTCCCAAGCAAGTGCAAAAATCAGCACGGCAAATTCCACGCTTTGAGTCCTAAGAATAACCAACAGTTCACCCTCAATGCTGCCTGCCATGGCTCTGCCTTCAGAGGTATTCGACTGTTTTCTTGAAAGAATAGCAAGGTGTTTGCAGCCAAGTGGCTTTTTTACTGCCTTTTCTGCATGTAGAATTTTGGATGCCCAATAGCTTCCTCATTTTGTCTTGTCTTTGGTTCAAGTTGGCAGTGTCTTTACTAATCAATTATTCTCCAAAGCCCTGTGGGGGCTTTTTAGGGTCCTCTACAGAGCCTATGGGACACCTCATACTTTTATTTGGCTTCTGCTAAAGTGGTTAAGTTCCTTTTTCCTTAGCTGTTCCTTCTTTCTTTCTTAAATTTCCTGTAAGCAGCAAAGAGAAACAGGGCAGCACCTTCAACACTTTCCTTGGAAATATCCTAAGTTCATTGTTTTCCACAAAATTCAGAATCTAAGTTTGCCACTATATTGCCACTATATGAGTCACCCTTTCTCTGTTTCCAATAACATATCCTTCATTTAAATATTCATTTTTCTACCAACAGTCTATTCAGGATGGGAAAATCATCCTCAAAGATTATAGTAGCAGACAGAAGCTTTATTTATTTAAATTGTCACCTTACTGTCTTTTAAGTCCTCACCAGAATCACTCTTAAGGTCATCCTTTGTCAGTCTCTAGTCCATTAGACATTTTGTGCTACATCTCTCAAAATTCTGGCAGCCTTTGTTTAAATCCACAGGTACTTCTACATTTTCAGGAACTTCTTTCAGCAGCACCCTACTTTTTGGCCTACATTAGTTTGCTAGAGCTGCTGTAACCAATGTTAAAAAAAAAATCTGATGGCTTAAAACAACATTCTCCCACAATACTGGAGGCCCAACATACAAAATCAAGGTGTTTGGTAGCGCTGTACTTTCTCTGAAGGCTCTGGGGGAGACAACTCTCTTGCCTCTTCTAGATCCAGTGGCTTCAGGTGTTCCTTGGCTTGGGGATGCATAACTCCAATCCGAGTCCATCATCACATGCTCACCTTATTGTGTTTTTTCTTCTTTTATAGTAGTATTGGGCACAGAGCCCACCCTGATAAGTAAGGATGATTTCATCTATCTCAAGACCCTTAATTACATATGCAAAAACCTTTTATTTACAAATTTGAGATCAGTTAGGATGTGGATTTATCATTGTGGGAGCCACCACTCAACCTACTGCTGTAATTAGGATAAACCAGACTGGGGTTAGGTTGTGAAGTTTGAGAAGCATCCTACAGGAGTTCCCACGTCAGGACTCTTGAGACAAGCAGAAACCCAGAAACTGCATTGGCAGTCTGAGGCTGTCAGACTGCTTTGGAACTATGTGTGGGATCTGATCCAGACAAGCTCTGAGACACACTGTGGAAAAGATAAAGGAGACGTATGTTAAGCTAGAATCATTTATTCAGTAACAGCTGTTGGGAAGCTAACATATGCAATGTTATGAGATGAAGTCTCCTATTAGGACCATAGGTCGCTTCTCAGGTGACCACCCCAAAACCGTTCCTACAAAAACTTCATCTAAGAGTTTTCTAGTCGTATTTTACTACTGGAATACAAAGGAGCAAAATTCAATGACTACAATTTTGTTTCTGCAGAGCAAATGATACCTGACGAACTAATTCCAGTGGAAAAGATGGAAAAAAAAAAAATAGTATGCGGGACGCTGCCTTTCCCAGAGCAAGTCTGGCAGAGAGAGCTGTGTGCGGACAAGTGCCGGCCTCAGTTTACAGCCTTTCTTTCTTCTGCCACAAACAGTAACAAGGCTCAGATGAATCAAACCAGGCCAGGGAACTTCTATACACGGTGGCTCAAGGAAACTGTGACCTGAGCGTAGACTGGCAAGGGTCCGAGGAGACCACGCTCCGAGGGCGCCACAAGAGGGGCACGCGGCGCAGGGACCCCCGCCGCCCGCCCCCCGCGTGAAGACGCTGGGCTTGAGGGGCCGCCGGGGCGCCGCTCGCCCCTTCCCTCTGACGCCAGGCCCGCACCCACCTCGCCTCCAGCAGCAGCGGCGTCTCCGGCCACTTCGCGGCCAAGTGGGCCGTCACCGCCTTGGACGCGGAGGCGGTTCCGGCGTCGAGCAGCGACAGCCACAGCGCCGCGGCGCCCAGAAGCAGCCGCATCACGGCCTCGGCCTTGGCCGGCGCCATGGTGCCCGGAGCGATGCGCGAGCCGGTGGGAGCCGCTTCCCAGAGCGCCGAGCCGCCCGCTACAGCCGGCTCCTCCCGGCCGCAGCCGCCCACTTCCGGCGAGGGGAGCGCGAGTCCGTTATTCGGTGTCGGCCCGGGGACTTCGCCAGGCGCATGCGTGCCCCGCTCCGCTGCCGGCGGAACGCGGCGCCACGTCGGAGCCCCGCGGGCGGCGTCGCCCACGCCCAGGCGGGTCCCTGACAGGGATGGACGCTGGTGTCGGGAGGCGGACTCCTGAGCCCGAACTAGGCCTGGCTGGCCGTGCCAAAATCTGGGAGAGAAGCCGCGAACCGCTTGGCTATCACCCCCGACTTAACGTTAAAGCGGCCGCCTCACAGAAGTCGCCGATTTTCTTTTTTTGAGTATTAGGATCCTCTAGGAGAGGTGGCCATAGGCCGCTGCCCAGCCCGCACCACGCTCCTCGAGAGCCCCGGGCGTTTTACCAGCCGCAGGTGACCCCAGCGAGCGATGAGCGGCGGCTCGCAGACGCGAGCTGCGTGCCCGGCCTCGCCCCGGGGGCCTGAGTGACGGCTCTGCCGCGTTCCCACGTGGTGCCGGCGCCGCGGCCCGGGAGCCGCACGCGTAGCCTGTCTGCTCGAGGGTGTGGCCCGCCTTGGCTGCACCTGTGAGTGCGTCCCTGGCACGCCCGCAGACGGAACCGTTTGGGAACTCAGGTGATTTGTATGCAGGTGAAAGGGTGAGAAGGTTTGCAGGTGAAATGTGCACAGAGCAGAGCCAGTGTTTGGTCAGAGAAACATTTAGTATGGGAAAGAGAGGCGTCATCCCTTGCTTTGTAGTTGTTATTTTCTCCTGTCACTCGCTGGCCCTACTGAATCTTTTGCGGAACACAGTCATTCCGTTTGCTCCTTTCCCCTCATTTGCTTATATTGCTCCTTGGAGGACCCTCTTCTGGAAATTCTACTCAAGAGAGAACAGGTCTCACGTCCAAAGTTTAGCCTGCCTTTCCTGTTTTCTCCTGCTTGATAGGACCTATTCCTCTTTGAAATTCCCATAAGCTCTTTATTTTATCGGAGTCATATAGCACTTAAATTCTCAGTTGGAATTTCAGTAAGTACGTAGTTGTTTGTCCTAGTGGGGACAGTGTGTTCTCCAAGGCCTCAGGCCATAATCGTTTTTGGCGTTCCTTGCAACACTGAAGAGCCCCATGTTTTCCTGGTAGAGAAGCAGAAAACTAAGTCAAATGGGCCTTATTTCTATTCAAATGCATGATATATGCATGAAAATATATTATGAATCCTTTACAAACATTTGCTTTAACTCATTTCTACTTATTTTGGGCCAAGTTTTAAATTGTAAGGATGGAAATAAGAGATTGACAATGAGTCAGTGTATCTCACAGGTTGCAAATCTTAAAGAAATAATTTGGCAAATAAAAGCCATATGAAATACATTAATGTAGCCGGCGCCGCGGCTCACCAGGCTAAAGGCTAATCCTCCGCCCGGTTGGGGCGCCAGATTCTGTCCCGGTTGCCCCGCCGGATTCTGTCCCGGTTGCCCCTCTTCCAGGCCAGCTCTCTGCTGTGGCCAAGGAATGCCAGTGGAGGATGGCCCAAGTGCTTGGGCCCTGCACCCCATGGGAGACCAGGAGAAGCACCTGGCTCCTGCCTTCGGAGCAGCGCGGAGCGCCGGCTGCGGCGGCCATTGGAGGGTGAACCAATGGCAGAGGAAGACCTTTCTCTCTGTCTCTCTCTCTCACTGTCCTCTCTGCCTGTCAAAAAAAAAAAAAAAAAATTAGTAAAGGACATTACTAAAACCTATCCAAGGAGTTTTCAGAAAGTTCACAGAAAATATGATGAAAACTCTGCATGATTTCCAAATCTTTTTGCACCAAAATACTTATCTTTTAATTCCATTTTCCCATAAAGCTATTGAAGTATTCTTGTATTAATATACTCTCCAGGATATTTGAGAGTATATTTCAGAATAGTAAGAATGCTACGTTTCTCTTTTTAAAGAGAATAAAATTAACTAATCCAGGCCATTTATTTACATAATGGTTAAATATTTTATTTTACATGATGCTAAAAGTTCCTTCTATATGTAATTCCTATATGCAGATAGAAAAACTAAAATGCAAAAACTGAGTCACTCGGCAAAGGCTATACAAGTCAATGGAACAGCAAAGTATTCTACAATCCATTAACAATGATCCTTTGGCACAGATTGTCTGTGAATTATATGTAGTTCAGGGATATAACTATACCTCTGTATTTTTTTTGCAAAATATAATTCAAAATTATTCACTTTAGGGTACTGTGAATAAAACTTGATGATCATGGCAATTTCACTATATGAAAAAATGATTAATGGATGCTTTATAATAAGAATCTTGTGTTTAATAGAATTAATCATCTTGACTTATTTTAGGTGCAGCATGGGCTATACGTATTTAATGATAATAATGGTGCTATGCGAAGATAAAGTTACTGCCAAGTTATCTTGTTATGTAATAAAAATTTAATTTTTTTAGCTGAAATGAAGTCCCACAGTGGCAATGACTTTATATTGTTCTGTATGTGTTCCAGATTTTCTTTATAAGAATGACTCTATTCTTATTCTTTATTTGAATATTTTAAAATATACAAATGCAATCTAATTCCAGTTGCAAAAATTTATGGATTTATGTATGTGTTATACATCTAATCCCTAGGCAAGATTATACTAAAGTCATAAGTGAGTAATATGTTTTTTTTGACATTTATTTAAGGATCAGAAAACTTGATTTTTCTAAATTTGCATATTCTACAAATGTCTCACAAATGTTTATGTTTGAAGGATTTTTTTTAGTGTACTACATATAATGACTTTCAGATAAGCAAATGAAGGATGTAAAATACATAATTTTAAAATTAATAATAGGGATGAATTTTTTATTTAACAAAAACATTTTGTATTTTGTATCCATGTTAGTATGTCAAAGTATTTTTTAGTGATGGCAATAGTGTAATTTATCATTTTAACTATTTTAAAATGTGCAATTATTTCACTACTGTTAAGTATATTCACATTATTGAACAGTGCTGTCAATCTGCAGACCATTTTTGTCTTAAGAAACTAAAACTCTTCCTTTTTCCACTCTGAACCCAGCCCTTGGCAGCCACCATTCTGCTGTTTCTGTGAATTTAACTACTCTAGATATTAACACACGTAACATCACACAATACTTTGTGACTGATTTAGTTAGTGTGATTCTTCAAGATTCTTCTATGTTGTATCATGTGTTAATATTTCCTATTTTCAGAACTGAGTATTATTCCATTGTTTGTGTATACCACATTTTGCTCATCCATTCATTCATTCATGAACACTTGCATTTCTTCCACTGTTTTAGCTATTGTGAATGATGTTGCTATCAACATGAGTGTGGAAATATTTTTTCAACATTCTACTTTCACTTCTTTTGGGTATCTATCTAGAAGTAGAATTTCTAGATCATATGGCAATTCTATTTTAATTTTTTGAGGAACTGACATATTGTTTTCCATAGTGGCTTTACCATTTTACATTCCTACCAGCAATGAGTGCACCTATCCTTAACCAACATACATTTATTTATTTATTTACTTATTTACTTGCTTGCTTACTTAATTATTTTTGATACTAGCCATCCTAATGGGTGTAAAGAGATGTCTCGTTGTGATTTCAATTTGCATTTTTCAAGTTGGTCAAGGTGTTTCGGAAATACATGTTTTGGAACTACTTCTGAGCAAATTTATGAGGTACTCAAGAAAATAACTTCCATAATAATTTAAATGCAAGACATTCTCCTTTGTTCCTCTGTCCACATTTCACTCTGGTCATCTCTGAATACATCTCAACATATTGACTTCAGCCAACGGTATCTATACCTCCAAAAGAGTAGCTTGGTGAGATATTCTGTTTTTTCTCTTATGAAACTTGACATGGTGAGTCTAGAGCTGCTATGACAGCTCAAAGTTACCTAATTTTTGGCATCTTTTTTTGTCATATTATGTGTGGGTTTTCACCTCATCATCACAGATGGCTCTTGTGTTTTCAGGAATCATTTATATATTCCTAGCAGGAGGAAGAGTCAAGAGCACAGTCAAAAGTCAAAACCTGGTGCAAGGCCGGCGCCGTGGCTCAATAGGCTAATCCTCCACCTTGCGGCGCCGGCACACCGGGTTCTAGTCCCGGTCGGGGCGCCGGATTCTGTCCCGGTTGCCCCTCTTCCAGGTCAGCTCTCTGCTATGGCCAGGGAGTGCAGTGGAGGATGGCCCAGGTGCTTGGGCCCTGCACCCCATGGGAGACCAGGAAAAGCACCTGGATCCTGGCTCCTGCCATCGGATCAGCGCGGTGCGCCGGCTGCAGCGGCTGCCATTGGAGGGTGAACCAACGGCAAAGGAAGACCTTTCTCTCTCTGTCTCTCTCTCTCACTGTCCACTCTGCCTGTCAAAAAAAAAAAAAAAAAAAAAAAAAAACCTGGTGCAAGTTGAGATGGCTATATTTGATGAATACGTATCAGAATATTTCCCTGGCAATTTATTAGCTGGTTCTCTACCCCATGGTCACCCTTTGCATGATGAAAAGTGAAGAATAGTGATTTTTATAGCTGGGCATATTTTCCCTCTTTCTCAAAACAGTTTTGACACTGAGTGACTATGGAATCAGGAAGTGAAGTTGATTGTATTGTGTAGACACTTGACTGTATTTGTTAAACTCCTGTTTATCTAATTTTGAGGTATTGAATTGGCCTGAATATTCAAGGTGAGTGAAATTCTAGGAGAGCATAATTTGTAGGACAGCATCAGGAAATGGCTTTTCTTCTGTATGTAAATATCTTCTAACCTAATGTAAGTCTCATAATCTGGGTTTAACTGGCTGAAGAAACTAAATGCTAATCACTGGAAAGCCAAATTTCAATAGATTAAGAAATGCCTTGGGGCCAGCACCGTGGCACAGTAGGTTAATCCTCTGCCTTCGGCGCCGGGATCCCATATGGACGCTAGTTCTAGTCCCGGATGCTCCACTTCCAGTCCAGCTCTCTGCTATGGCCTGGGAAAGCAGTGGAAGATGGCTCAAGTCCTTGGGCCCCTGCACTCATGTGGAAGACCAGG